ACATTCCCTCTCTCTCTCTCTCTCTCTCTCTCTCTCTCTCTCTCTCTCTCTCTCCCGTGTACACACTCATGTTCACTATAGAGTCCTCACTGCAACATGTGGTGAAGGATGGGTCCTGCAGTCAGTGACCTCCTGTCCCTGGCTGTGGATGGAATGAGTATGAGCTCTTCAATCTCATGGAGTCAGTGGCTGAACTCAAACTTGAAAATTATGTTTTGAAAGTGATGACAAGTGTGAACTAAATGGAGTTAGATTCCAAAGGCTAACCTCACAGGCATGTCTGCAGGTCATTTCCTGCCCACTAGGGGTTGTAAGAAGCTCATCTGTTTCTACAGTTCAGGTCTAAGGGTGACTAGAAGGAACTTTTACAAAGAATGGCCCAGTGGAGTGAGCATTGCACTTCCATGAACTAATTTCATGCTCCTAACACCTAATAGTGTAAACTAATTCAATGAACAGTTCAATAAGTTGCTCGCTTTGTGGCATTGGAGAAAAAAAGAATTCACCTGTCCTCCATGTTATCTATGAAATCGAAGTGAGACCTTAGCTCCAGAGCTGATGGAGATAAATGTCTGATGAGGTGGCTGAGCCAAATCTATCTTCCCTCTCTCCAGTTCACGTGGACCCTTCCCCTGACCTGACCACAAGGTCAGGTCTCTGCCATCTCATAACCCCTGACTCACCCGTGTCCCCTCTTCCCACCCCGTGTCCCCTCACTGCCAACTTCCTTAAAGAATCTTCTGCACCCTGCTCACTCCCTACCTGCTGTCCATGCCTCGCCCCACTGCAGTGTGTCCTACTGGGAATTTCCTCATGTCATCCTCAACAACCACACACTTAATTATTCCCGCCTTGGAGTCTCTTCTCCCTGGATACTGTGTCACCATGGTCTTGGGTCTCCTAAAATGGGACTGCTTTTCCTATGCCTCCTTCCCTCATGGGCTCCTGGCCCTTGTCAAACACCTAGTAAACATGATTGGTAGGAATTGGAGAACTTTGAACATTTCTCTAAGTGAAATGTGAAACCACCCAGGAGTAGGGCAGAAAGGTCCTAGATGTGTAAGGAAGAGATGTGTCTGGTAGAGGAAGACAAAGGGTATGAAGAAGGTGATTTCATTTCCATGGCAAAGGCA